TGGCTTGGCAACGGTTCACCTTATTGGCGCCGTTAAGCCCTGGAAGAGATGTTTGAGGCCAAAACGAGAGTACACATATGCTGGATATGATGAAGTTAATATCGAAGTATCTCGAAGCATTGATCTCTTCTTCACCTACAGAGCTGTCAAGCGAACCTGCTACAAACGCGGCAGAATATCGTACTTCAAGTAAACCCATGTAAACTCCAAAACATCCCGCAACCCTAAACCCTAGCTTTCATTTCAGCATTGCGTATGTCGGCTCTCTGCTCAGAGTCTGAGCCGCATCCTCTAGCATGGTTGTGTGTTGTCGGTGGTTACATTGACGGTTTAGGTTTCGAGTTTAAGGTTTGGGGCTTAGGTCTAGGGCTTACGGTTGCAAGTTTGCCAGTTTGCCTCGAAGCTTTCGCGTAGCGTTACTTGATTTAGTGACTCGGTTGGAGGCGCACTCGGATGCCCTTGCTGGGTCTTAGTCTTAGTCTTCATGAAAATGTGCCTTAAACCCTAAACTCTAAACCGTATAAGTATAATCCCTAAACTCTCAACCCTAATCCCTAAACTCCAAACTCTAAACCCTAAACCCTCAACCCGATGCTGTGCCCTCCACCGTTTCTCGGATGCCAGAAGCTCAAGAGGCTGCAATGAGGCCTGTGAGCCAGAAGCTTCAGGTAACCCTTTAGGGTTTAGGGTTTAGGGTGGTCACCCGTACGGTTTAGTGTTGGGTTTAGGGTATAGGGTATAGGGTTTAGGGTTTGGGGTTTAGGGTTTAGGGTTTAGGGTTTAGGGTCTAGGCTGGTCAGGCCCTGAAGCCTCGCACAGTACGGTTTCGAAGCTCAAACGCGCTCAATTACGAGTCCTGAGAGCCTGAGGGTAACTGAAGTTGCCTTAGGGTTTAGAGTTTAGGGTTTAGGGCCTAAACCCTAAACCCTAAAGCCCTAAAGCCGAAACCCTAAACACTAAACCCTAAACCCTCAAGCCCTAAAGCCCCAAACCCTAAACACTAA